TGGTTCTGTGGTTGCGTGGTTGCGTGGTTGTGTGGTTGCGTGGTTGTGTGTGTGTGTGTGTGTTGTTGTGTGTGTGGTTGTGTGTTGGTGGTTCTGTTTATGTTTTTGCTTCTGTTTCTGTTTGTGTGTCGGTGCTTGCTTGTGTGTGGTTTTGTGCTTCTGTGTGTGCGTGTGGCTCTCTGTGGGTCTCTGAGTGGGTGTGTGGGATTCTGTGTCTATGCTTATGTGTGTATGTGTGTTTGTTTGTCTGTTCGGTCGTTTGTTTGTTTGCTTTGTCAGTCGGTCGGTTGCTTGGTTGGTTGGTTGATTGGCTGGTTGGTTGGTTTGTGTGTGTTTGCGTAGTGTTTGCGTGTGTGTGGCAGAGTGGGTGACATGATCACCTGCCACAGGTATATATAGACCGATATCCAAATGGTTAGTTGTTCCATCAAGATACACAACTGGTGCCTGGGCGTCAACTGTTTTTGCGGTCGAGAAGACAGGACCTGGAGGACGTCATCAAGGCGGCACCTGGCGCAGTGGAGCGGGTCCGGGCCCCCACGGTTGACGAGGAAAACACGTTCCTACGAACTGGGGAGAGAGCGGGAGTTTGACGCAAGGCTGCGGTTTCCTGAGGCCAAGACTATCGCAGAGTTTCTGTTTAAGTGATTCTCGAACCCACGCCCTGAGAAGCCCACCTACCTTGCTGCGCTCCGAGCTAGGTCCTAGCAGTGCTGCAGGACAAGGTGAACCAAGCTGCAAACCGCCAGCTGAAGGCCGGGCAAGCAAATCGGCTCGAATCTCCATGGTAAATCATGGGCCGGTCAGCTCTTTGATCGACGTGATGGGACCTTAGGCTCGTGCCTTGTGTTGAGGGTCACCGCAGTCACCGCATACCAGTCAAGGCAAGGCCAGGTGCGCGCTGAGGTAGCGGTGCCCCGAGCCCCTGCGCCGCCAGCGCCGCCAGCGCCGCCAGCGCCGCCAGGCACGGACAGTTCGCTTAGCCCGCAATGAGGGATCAACGCATATTGCACATACAGAGGCCCCCCCTCAAGACAGGGTTTGCTAGGGGCTTCGAGGTGCCTGTCTTCCCCGTTTGCCCAGAAAAGTGATTGCTCTCAAGAAACATCATGCACCCTGCAGTGGGCAATGTTCGCTTGGGTTAAGCCCTACCTTTTCGCTCGAAATTTGCCAGGCCCAGGCCCCAATCGGACACCCAGCGAGCGCCAGAGCGTCGGCTCAGCGCGGCAGGCAAGGAGACATTGGACGAATCGTTCTGTTTCTCGGTGGCAACCCATGTTGACGAGATCAACCAAATCGAACAAGGCGAAAGTGCAAAACTGTGCAAGTGCCGGGGCTAGGTTCTAAATGACTTGTGAGGGAATGTGCCTATCAGACTTTGCAGACTGCCAAAGGAGCCTTTGTCATATCAGTAAGGTTGTTCCAACCTGAGCAAGTGTTTGGGCACAATTCAAGTGACCTGTAGCACACCTCGCCGACACCAGAATTGGATTTCTTGCTGGGAGAACCTCTAAGTGCTTTGTTTATTGTCCTTGCTTGCGCCCCTTGGTCGTTTATATGGCCCCTCGTCGCGTGGGGGGTGCTCGTATTTGGGGTCAGTGTTCTCGGATTACGCACTTGCTTTGCAACGTGTGATTGTTTTCAATCAGTACAATGCTGGATAATATCAAGATTGCAGTGTTCAAAGTGTAGCGACCGCTGCTGGGGTGAGCTAACAAGAAAGCAACCAGCTCGGCTGCATGTGTATGGTATGCAGACTGGCAATCTTGTCCAGCACCGTTGGGAGGGGGGCTCCCCAAGCGGCCTGGCTCAAACGAGGTCTTTACACAAAATTTGAAGGCCGAAGGCCGAGTTTCACTGGCGGACCCCACCCAACCAGTCTTGTGTCAGGAGGCGTCCCCAGCGCCAAGGCAGAAGCGCAGCCGGCTTGCCTTAGCTATGGGCAATTTGTCTCTTGACTGTTTGGATTGGCCAATGGTCATCAAACTGTCACATGCGCCCCGTTAAGGGAACTGTGACCATCCCCTGGCAAAAGGCTGTCCTTGGCTCCACTGGGATTTGCATGTTAGCTGGATCCTCACGACCGATTTCTTTCAAGCTGGTGGAGTACGTAGGGAATCCAATGCAAATTGAGCCCATGGAGATGATGGGCTGGGATTTAGCTAAGTGGTGAATCTGCCAGCAACCCTGCCCCGTCAAGCCCCCACTGAATTTCCGTTTTGCCCCAACTCACAGCCACCGTTGTGACCATGCTTACTTTCCATTTAGCCAACTGCAAGCCCACATTCTCGATTTGAGTTAGCTTGTTGGAAGACTACAAGAAAGAAAAAGGTCCCCGTTAAAAAGAAGAGTGGTCTTTAAGAGAGATGGACAAACAGGAAAATCCGCTAGGGCTCACAGGCCCAGGCTCCCGGAAAAAGAAGAAACAAGAATACACTTGCAGCCTTCCGCCCTTGGAGCCCCTTTTTTCAAGCCCCATCACCATCAGCACCTTTTCATGGGACGCAGAATGTTCTAATCTCAAAGCAAGATGGCTTCATGACTTCTGCATCTGAGGTTCCCAACTGTTTGTGAATTGAGACTTGGCCGATCTTGGCGGACTGGTGGTGGTGAGTGAGGTGGGGCTATGTTTGCTGCGTCAAACAAGCAAGTTCAAGTAGCAGCCACATAATATAATAGGCTGTTGGTACCCCAGCATGTGGCAGGTTGAGTCTGTAGTACAGGTCAAAGCCGCCTTGGGGAAGCGTGAATCGTCTGAATTGCCTTGCAACCCTATGCTTGTTATTGGGTCCAGGTCCGAGGAAACATAGTTACGCAATGATTCTAGCAAGTGAAAGTTGGTGCTGCCTCGTGTGGATTTATTGTGGCCAATTATGTTGTTGCGTGCATACGGAAACCTAACATGAACAACAATACAAAAGGTACCAAAAGATAGTAAGGATCCTCGCGCTAAAGGTAAGGTCGCCTTGCTTGAAAGTGACCTTTGCGTTGCGACGTTTGGTGGCCAGGATGCAGCTGGAAGTGGACACTGAGCTTTTGCTGGAGAAGGCGCTAAGCATCGCTAAACTCGAGCGGTTCAAGAAGTGGAGTATTGCCCAAGAAGTGTAGGAACTTGTGCTTCGTAAGCCCGAATTCCACTAATTATCACATTTCCGTGGGTTGTCCAAGAACGAAGAAACGCTGTCATGTTGGCTCGCTTTTGCAAGTAAGACGGTCTTTGTTTTAGTGTGCGGTGCTGAATGAACGCGACCTGCTGCTGGCAAAAGCGAGAACCAAGTCTCGCTGCAGACGCCCACTGCCTCCACACTCTGGCTAAAATGTCCTGTTCGGCGCAATGACGCACTGCGGGAACTTTGTGCTGCATGAGTACAAAATTCTACAGGGCAGAGAATCAATGAACGCTTTCGTTATTTGCGCAAGAAGGAAGAAACGTCATGTTTTCCCAGTCCAGCGTGTGATGCATTGTGAACCCGGCCCGCGACTAGCAGAACCATGAAGCGGGTTCCAACTGTGCGAAGACCCCTCCCCCCCTCCCCCCCTCCCCCCTGCGACACTCCCAGGAGTACGATGCGGCGAAGTATCGCACAGGCAAAAGCACCAAAATAAGTGAAGTGTTGACAAATTCCCTTGCGTTGCCAATGTCGTCGTTAGCTTGACATCGCGCCAACACATGGAAATATCGCTTCATACTGACCCATGTCAAGTCGCTCCTGCCAGGCCGCGACACCCATTCAAGGATTACTTGCCTGTGTAGCGTTTTGGTACCTCATTTTAGCACGGGTTCCGAAGGCAATACTCTGCAGTTGAAACAAGGTCCAACTCTGGGTCTAGGGCTGGCCCTTGCCATTACAGTGGGACTCAAGCGGAGGGTTATGATTCAGCAAAAGGCTATGGATCTGATGTTATAAGCAGCTGAGTACCTTAATCAGCCAGAGTGCAGCTGGTGCTGTTGCTTCACAGTTTGCCTCCTCCAGGAGCAGGCCATTGCAGAGTTGAGGGAAATGGTTGGAGCCTGAGAATATGACAGAACTGTCGAGTCCCCAGGTATAATGCAAGCAGAACCAAAATCAAGTACCTGGAATATAGTGACTTTAGTGATGTCACCAAAGCAACAAGTCACCTGAAACAGTTGAGTTGGCGGATTCGCGCTTCGGGTTGCCCCACTCTAAGTGAACAGTTGGCCAATTTCGGTGAATTCAGTTTGTATTTTACTTTGTGTGCTTGGTTCCATCTTTACCCCTTTCGAAGCAGCTAGAGCTGACAGGTGCATAACAAGTAAGACAAACGTTGGGCAATGGACATCAATCCATCAAAAGCAACAGTTTGAAGGGTATAAGTTCAGGATCATGTTCAGTTCTGACTTGGCAAGGTGGTGGTGGCCTTTCGGCTTCTGAGCATGCGTGCATTCGACGTGTATTCCATGTGTGCTTAGCATTTCTTGCGGTCTAGGACGTCCGCTTTTATCAAAGCAACCAGCTCAGCCGTATTACAGGGCAGAAGATACAGTGTTTCCGATGGTATCACCCTCGTGTCATACTATTTATGTGGCAAACTTTTACGTTGTGCCACAAAACACGCCATTCATTGCATAAAAAATACACTTTCATGATTGGTTCAACTTCTTTGTGTTGCAGAGATCGTTCGTTCTGAAGGCCCTCTATGTGTGCTCACATGGCACAACCATGCAAAACCAGCGGACAAGCTTCTTCGCCAAGCTTAGCGCTCTGAAGCTAAAGCAAAGCTTGTTAGGTCAAGCTGATTGGTTCAATGACTGACTGGCTGGCTGGCTGGCTCTTTGGCTCTTCGACCTTTCCATCGCCGCAATGGACAAGTGGTCACACCTTTCGCAGGCTATTTTGAAATTGTTGTAGGCGGTGAATGACTTGAGCCTTGTTTATAAGAACAAGAACTGTGCAAGCTCCTTTGGATGAGTAGATTTCCAGCGGATTCCAAGCCTGCCGGGACGAGCTGTTCGTGTCATGTTGCACCAGAATTCATGTTGCAACGTGTGCCGGTGGTTGGACAAGCCCGCATGCGAATTCCTGGATGGATAAATAAGGATGTCTATCTGCTCAGATTGGCGAAAGTCTTCGTAACATGCCCATTGACAAACAAGTGAGCCACACTCAAAGCCCGGGTCAGTGAAGGTTAGTCAGGGACACTCCCAACCATGAAAAGGTGCGGCCGCCTTGCTAGCTCTTTAGATGGTTTTGGGTTCACCATATTGTACCAGCTTTTGATCATGACTCAAGTGGCGAACCTGTCGGCTCACGTCGGCACAAGCGCCACTAAGGTCGGAATCATGACCGAGAAAATCAAGAAGCTGGAGCAGCTGGTGACTTGCTGCAGTTGGAACGAACGTTCCCACAGATGTTGGCGGAGATATGTGATAGAATGTGATCATTTCAGACAGGAGCACCCAGAGTAGCTTGCTAAAGAGGCTGCCATTGCTGGGCCACCCGACAACCGTTGGCCTCCCAAGCATTTGTAGGTGACATCAACAGAAGCAACAATAGCGGCAGCAACGGCAACAGCAGCAGCAGCAGCAGCAGCAGCAACGAAAACAAGGAAAAGTGTGCGTGTGTCTGCAGGTGCAGCTCATGCGAATGCCACGTCACTTCCGGGCTAGGTCCGCATCAAAGACTCGAAGATCGAGGCGCACACTTATCGGTTCCACCTGCATTGCTGATATGACCTGCGGCCAGAATTGGTTGTTAGATTGGCTGAGCAGAAGAAAGTCAGGAGGCTGTGGCGGACTCACGCATGAACAAAAGGCTCCTAAAGCCAAGCAGGGCCATCAAGTGGGTCAGATTTGGTCTCCCTGGAGTTCTGGAGTGCTTTTTGACTCGGCTTGACTGTAGTGCGGAATGGACTGACGAAGTCAATTGCTGCACTCAGTCTTGCAGCCTACGTTCCTATGCTACTTGCAAGCAAAGTATCTGGCAAAGCGACTTTCCGCTGTGAGGAATTTGATGTGCTTGCGCCTGGCCGTGACACCTGCTCAATATCGCAATGCAAGCATCAGACCCTGAAGATGAATATGAAGAAATTTGATGTAACGCAGCTCTATTGGATACCGCAGTTCAGCTCGGCACCATCAGGTTCATGTGCGTAAAAAGAGTCGAACTATTTGGAGGGACAACTCATGCCGTCCTCTTGCCCCCTTCTCCCTACAGCACCTGAGCCAATTGCGGTCAGGATTAGTATGATGACTTGTGTTTTTAGCCTTTGTAGCAGATGAAGTAACAGCCACCACTCCACCCCACCCAACTCCAATCCACTCTACTCCACTCTGTTCCATAGTCTGCCGTGCACTGAGCACCAGTGGTCCTCAGCCTTCGCGGCCGCGAATCAACATGGGAGGCCAGGCAGAGAGTGGGGGAGCTGACGACCAACCAAAAAGAGGTTGCCCTTTGGTTTGAGTCTGGTGTTCATCTGGCTTCGGCGGCAGAGAACCGGGGGGTTGGTCCAAAGGAAACGATGCCTTACCCGTCTGATTCATGAAGGGTGTTTGAACAGCAGTCAGACGTGCGCACGTTCAAAGGGAAAGGGGCGCAGACCACATGAGCTTATGAAACATCTACTTTTAGACAAGGAAATCGGTTGTCTTGCCCAAAACATCAGTGATGGTGATGGTGACGACGACCAGTTTCGCTGACGGACCAGTGCGACATCTACCTTTAGAATAGCTTCGGCAACGCACAGTGTTTATCATCACTAAATCGGTGGGGATGCTGGTGTTCACAAACCACATGGGTTTGGCTCAAAATTACATACATAAACAGGAGGGGTTACGCACGTTTTGGTCCATGTTTCCACTTACCAGGGTTCCATTTTGGTACCCGTTGTTTGAGCCACGGCCACATTTTGTCTACAAGCCGGAAGTAGGCGCGACGAGAGACCAAGCAAGATCCAACAAACACACTTCTGCAAATTGGTTTTGTCTTTTATTTTGACACGGCCGGGCGACCTGCACACTTGGAGACTACTTTGCCCAGAGCTTTTCCGTAATTTCCCGTGTCTTTCCGCAATTGGTCTTCTTATAGGTTAGTTGAGGTTAGTTATACAAGGTCAGTTGAGGTTGGTTCAAGTAGATGCAGTCAATTGATGTTAGTTGTTGGTTATAGATTGTTGGTTGATGTTGGTTTGTGTTAGTGAGTCCCCCTACGAACCCGCAGCGCGACATCTACTTGTAAGCAACTGACATATGTTGTCTTGCCTGCAATGTTGCTGATGCTGGTGACGATCACTTTAGTTTGTGGACCAGAACGACAGCCCCAATAGTTTCTAGACTCGTCCCACAATCTTCCGGTAGTCGTGCTGAGTTTCGTGTAACTGCCATAGTTGTCCCATAGTCTTGCCGATGAATCGAGGTCAGCTAAAGGTTTAGCCAAGGTTGGCTAGGATGAGTTCAAGATAGTCAAGGTTGGTTGCGGTTAGCTTCAGGTTAGCTAAAGTGAGTTGCGGTTGGTCAAGGCTGTCAAGTCGTAAACCTCCGTCCCAACCATGATGCATATGATAATGTTTGGCCTCTGAGAGCGATGGGTGGGGATGCCACCCGCGATTGTCCACGGAAAAAGCCCTGAATAAGGATGAGAGTGAGAGAGAGAGAGAGTGCAGTTTAGCCACAGCCAATACTCACTTTGGGACTTGCTTAGAGGAGAATTATAAGCTTCCTCCATCAGACTAGCATGGAACCCTCTTAGGATCTCCGCTGAAAAGTAACATGTCTCTCTTCTTGAAAAGCAACTCGTCGGAGGAGGGGTCCCTGTTCATTCTTGGTGAAACTCAGTATCACTATCACCCGTTAAGCTCCTTCCAATCCAAACATCAAGCTGAACTTGAATGTTCGGCGCCCTATTTCCTAACTCCACCCATATTTGATCAACCCATATCAACCAGGTTGTCGGCTGGAGATGTGGACATGGGAGGTCCTCAAGAGGCTCTGTGTAGAACTCGGGGCTCCTTGCCCCATCAGGCCTAATTTCCCACTATTTGTAGGGGGTCCCTCAATGCCCCTTTTCGCTACCTTGAAGAATCCCTTTTGCAGTCCTGGACACGCTGGATGGCCTGGACACCCTGGACGGGATGGATGGCCTGGAGGAGGTGGAGAAGATCGGCTTCTCCCAGCCCTCGACCCAGGACGGGAGACTAGGACCGTGCAGGGTGCTACAATCCCCAAAATGACAATTGAGGAGGATGGCCCCTGAGACTAGATGAATGGAACTCGGGCAACCCCAGTCTCCTCCGGTGCCCAGGTATGACTGATCCTGGGATTCGTGCATCAGGGTTACTCCGAGCCTCTACAAGATGAAACAAGCCTGCAAGGGTAGAATGTGTTTTCCTTTGGTCGCTTCACCAGGGACCAATGTTCTACCCTTATGCCAGGGACTTCGGATGCCTCCTGCATGGTTGTTCGAGCCCAAGTTTTTCTTGACAAAGCGTTTCGCTTCGTGGATCGCCATGGTGATGCACTCTGCTCCCAACGTGAGCCATAGCTGTGGGCAGGCGGCTACGGAAGTGGAGGCAGCCGATGGGGCCATGGGGGCAATGGACCCCGACGCCTTCGACGACTTGCCCTGCTTTGAGGCCAGCTGCGCAAGGTCCTTTCAGATGGGCTCGACTGTCTGAGCAATTTACAAAGAGTTTAAGTTGGATGAAGTGAAGTTTTCGAGGGGTCCAAAGGCAAACCCCCAGTGTGAGGTTCCCATGAAATGTATCGGGCAATTCGCATTTTTTGCAAGTTGTAGCAAACCTCCGTTCGTTCACGACTCGTTGCTTGGGGGCTTTCAGGCACTGGTTCGGTGAGGCCACTAAGCGGTGAGGCGACAATACAGCAACGGTGGTTGCAAGCGAATCATATTGAGTCCGGCAAAGCAGAAGTCCAGCAAGGCTTCATTTTTGAGGCTACCGGACAGCAAGCCCAGCAACGACAACCCGTCTCTGGGTTTGAGCGATCTGAGGGACAACCAAAAGAGAAACACGCTGGAGATTTCAACATGGCACAGGACTTAACGCCCTTCGAGGTGGAGCACTTTGTCAAGGACTTGGAGGACGCGGGCTCATGCTGGAATGTGGCATGGTGAAAATAGTGTTCAGGTAGGCGAATATTCCTTGTTCAGCTGCTAGTTGTTTGATGTGGACTGGTTTCACCCTTTGGTGAATACCTAAGCAAGAGAGCCATAGCTCATTGCAAAGATGTGGCAGCGGAGTGTGTTGACTTTGGCCGCTACACCTCACATGTCTAGTGTTTGAATGCCCACACGGCTGCCACGCCGCCGAGTACAGCTAGGCCAGAATCAGAATGCAGAGGGAGCTAGCGACGAATCTGGGCAACTTGGCAATCCAAGTGTGGTCGTTGTGCCAACGGATGGGCAATGCCAGGAGTTCCAACTGGAGCAGGTGGGCGATCCGCTTGGCGCCCAGGCCTTCAGGTTTTGGACAGGCAACCACGAAAGAGGCTTCTCATTTGCCAACTGAGGGGATTTTGGCTTTACAAACCAAGGCTAGGACACTGCGGCTAGCCAGACATGTCCAGGGGACATGGCACGTATCCGTGTAATAACATCCAGCATTCGAATTATTCTAATCGTGATGCTATGCTATGGTTCCTGAGGGAAGTCCAAGCCAGGGAAGCATGTCGTTGGAAGTCCTGGTCATGCAACTGTGCAATTGGCCCAGATTTATTCCGTTGAACCTTTGAGATGCACTTCGAAGCTGAGGACTATGTCAAAGGGCTCTATCACATTGAGACGCGGGACATATCACGTTGACGTGCATTCATGTGCATTATGAGTTCTACTAGGACAGCGCATGAATACAGTTTGCGACTATATTTGTACGCACTGCTTTGGCAATATCAATCATGGCATCCAGTGCACTGCGGAATCACTTCTCGTGCAGTGACTTCAGCATTGTGACCCAACAAACAATCGTGTTATCGCATTCCTCGCATAACCAGCATTGTGATGTCCGTTCAGCAAGCGGAATAAGTTTGCACGGAAGCCAGTCCAATCCATGCACTGAGCCAGGCAGGTTTGAGAGCGCTTTGGTTTGCAGCGGCCAACACTGGCACCGTCATCAGCACTAATTCATCCACAATGATGGTTGGACGTCACCGCAATTTTGGTACCGGTGAGCTCCTCAACTTGAAGAGGACAAGCTGTTTTGAGTCAGGCCTAAAGATCTATATTATTGACCACTATTTGTGTATTAAGGGGTGTTTTGGACCACTCCCCGAAAAGCAAACAAGCACGGGAATATGCAAGTATACACTTGCGGAAACAGCAAAGTCGATTTTCATCAACTTTTGAATCTGGTTGGCCGGATGACACGATCAGCTTTTCCTCTGACAGCAGAACCAAAAGACACTGATGTAACAAGGAGAAACTGCAAGAACCGGGGACTCGCCACAGACACTGGTGCCATCGGATGCCATCGGGCAGTAAAGGCGGTGGCTGACGCAGCACGAGCGGGTAGAGAAGCTGAATTGGACGGCTCACAACCAGGCCAGCGACTAGAAGCTGCCAAAGCCGGAGGTTTCAGTCCTTGCACTTTTTAGAGAAGAACATGTCCGCTGCTTATTTTGTGCTTTTTTGCAGGGGTCAATGTGTGAGACGATGTTGTGGGGGAGGTCGGAAGGGTTGCAAAGCCCTGCCTGCCCCAACAAGTGCGCCGTTTCCGAAATTCAAAAAAGTCAGGCAGATTTCGCATTGGCTTCGCGCAGGCATGACGCCCAAGATCCAACCGGGGGGACCTTCCGGGCTCATCCTTCCTTTGTGGCCCCTCCCACTTCCGGATCTGGAGCGACCAAAAAAGTGTACTTTGAGTAGTGCACGCGTACTAAAAGCAACGGTGTTCGAGCTGGAGCTGGCAAGGTGTTCCTTTGCTCCACTGACAAGGCGAGCCCAAGCACACTGCGTGTACTACACTTGTACTTAAAAGCTGTGATTGTCCAGCTGGAGCTGCTTGAGTGCACTGCGTGTACTACTTGTAGGGCAAGTCGCAATCTTGCGCAGGCCATATTGATGTCGAGTCGCAATGTCGCGCGGGCGCGTAGGCAGGCGTCTAGTCAAGTAGGTCTCGCTTAGGCGGTTTTGTGGGAGTGGTCGTCTTGGCGTGGGCGGAGTTTGCATTGCGTAAGCAAGTAAAAAAATATATATTCAACAATGATGACACCGGCAAAGACCCCAAGTAGCGTAAAACAGTTTGCGGATTGCACACTGCAGGGCAAACAAGTGCAAAAAAGTTCCACGCCTTACGCCTTCCATGCAACCTAGCCAAGCAATTTCAAATACCAATGTGCAACTCCCTTTGGGAAACAAAATGATCATTGCAAACGCAACTAACCAACAACTCAGCCAAAAACACATCAACTCCAAATGCAGCCAAAATCACAGAAGCTCCAAAAAAAGCCTTGATAGGTTGCTGCTCTGTCGAAGTTGCAAGTGCGAAATGCAAAGGGCTGCTGGGCTGGCTACGCAATTGACTACTCAAGAAATATGCCGATAAAACCGGCAGAATCATAACCATGAACGCAGCACCATAAGAACGCCAAAACAGTCATGATGATAACGACACCACTATGATGATGCAAGCAACATCATGTGATTCCAAAACATGATAATGATACTGTTTATAAAAGAGCATCACGGTCACCGGTATCATCAGGATGATGCGGGCAGCGTCATGATGATTTAGCCAGCAGCATGATCACGACGAAACATCATAGCGCTACCGGGAACATCATGATGATGCAGGCAGCATCATGGTGACGCAGGCAAAATCAGGGTGATGCCGGCAACACCATAACAAGAATCCCAAACAGAATTATGGTCAAACCGACATCATCATGATGATGTAGGCAGCAACATAATGATGCAGGCGCCATCACAATGATGAAGGCAGCATTGTGGCGACGTAGGCCGCAGGATCATCACGCCGGCAGCATCAAACGACGCAGGAAGCATCGTGACGCCGAAATCATCATGATGACGCCAGCGGCCGCCTGATGCCGAAGGCAACGAAAGCATACGATGACGCATTAAGTAGCCAAAACGACGCAGCCAGCAACATGAAAACGCAGGCAGCGTGATGACGCCGAAAACAGCACCATGAGGCCAAAAACATCAAGGCAAGTTGGCGCGTCAGAATGATCTAGGCAGCATCATTCTGACACCAGCAAAAACAACACAAATACGCAGGCAGCATGGTGACGCCGGAAACATCACGTTGTTACTACCGGTAGCATCATGATGATGCGGGCGGCAAATCTCCAAGATCTTAACTTGCCTTGCCCCACGAATGCCTGAAATGCATTACATCAGAAGCAGCAGAGGAGAACAAGACTACATTTCCCCCTACTGCACCGCTGAGGCAGGCAAAGTGAACGCAGCGCTGCCTGAGTTGTTTTTGTTTGTACGAGCTCATGCTTCAATCAGTTTGAAGTCCAGCACAATCGATCCGAAATATTCAGGCGGGTTTTTTTCCCCCCGAAAGCATCGCGAAGGGTTCTTCCGTGCGGAGCCCTTGGACAAGTTACACAGAGCCAAGTTGCACAGAGCCAAGTTGCACAGAGCCAAGTTACATAGAGCCAAGTTACATAGAGCCAAGTTACATAGAGCCATGTTACATAGAGCCAAGTTACATAGAGCTAAGTTACATAGAGCCAAGTTACATAGAGCTAAGTTACATAGAGCCAAGTTACATAGAGCCAAGTGGCACAGGGCCAAGTGACACAGAGCCAGGTGTCACAGAGCCAAGGTTAGGTAGAGCTTGCGTAGAGCTTCGGCGTAAGCAGCTATGTAAGTTAGTTTAGGTTTCTAAGGGCTCGGGATTGCGACCCTCTGCGGAGGTTCGCGTGGTCGAGGTTCAAAAACTGAGGATTTTTTTTACGATTTTTGCGGTGCGCGCGCGACCCTCTGCGGAGATTCGCGTGGTCAAGGTTCAAAAACTGGAGACTTTTTACGATTTCCGCGGTGCACGCGCGACCCTCTGCGGAGATTCGCGTGGTCGAGGTTCAAAAACTGGGGACTTTTTGCGATTTCTGCGGTGCGCGCGCGACCCTCTGCGGAGATGCGCGTGGTCGAGGTGCAAAAACTGAGGACTGTTTACGATTTCTGCGGTGCGCGCTCAACCCTCTGCGGAGATTCGCGTGGTCGAGGTTCAAAAACTGAGGAAAACTGAGGACTTTTTTCGATTTCTGCGGTCCGCGCGCGACCCTCTGCGGAGATCGTGCGCGTCGAAGCGCTCTCGCTGTGGCGCCGCGCGAATTTGTCTTAGTCTCGGCAAGCCCTCTGCGGAGATTGTGCGTGTCGAAGCGCTCTCGCTGCGGCGCCGTGCAATTTTCTTGCTCGCGAAACGGCCTTTGGAAGTTGTCTCGTGGTTTGCGCGACTGCTTTCGCAATCCCGCGGTTGCGGGTTCGATTCCCCCCTGGTCCGCGGCAGCTCCGGCTTGAAAATCGCAGCTTTTAAGTACAAACGTAGTACGCGGAGCCTGCTCCTGCAGCTCCGCCTGGAAAATCGCAACTTTTAAGTACAGACGTAGTATGCGGAGCGTGCTCCCGCAGCTCAGGCTGGAAAATCGCAACTTTTAAGTACAAAAATAGTACGCGAAGTACATTCCCACAGCTCCGGCAGCACTTGCGCAGAGCAACTTGCGCAGAGTCACTTGCGCAGAGCAACTTGCGCAGAGCAACTTGCACAGAGCAATTGCACAAAGCACTTGCGCAGAGCAACTTGCACAGACCAACTTGCACAGAGCACATGCGCAAAGCGCTTGCACGGAGCAACTGGCGCAGAGCACTTGCGCAGAGCAACTTGCTCAGAGCACTTGCACGGCGCAGAGCAACTTGCACAGACCAACTTGCACAGAGCACATGCGCAAAGCGCTTGTGCGGAGCAACTGGCGCAGAGCACTTGCGCAGAGCAACTTGCTCAGAGCACTTGCGCAGAGCAACTTGCACAGAGCACTTGCGTGCAGCAGCTTGCAGAGAGCAACTTGCGCGCAGCAGCCTGGAACAATGCAGCTTGCGCAGACCACTTTCGTGAGAAATCGCGCGGCGCAGTTCGAGAGGAAAGTAGGATGATGAGATGGAGCTCTCATGTGACCATACACACTGAGCATCGCCGCGCGCAGACACGCTCGCCGCAGCGATGTAAAAAGGTGTCTCCGCGGCTGGATGAGCACCTGTGGAAAAATGCTTTCGGGCCAATTGTCCTCTAGTGCCTCCTTATCAAAACTACCAACCAATCAATCTTCACAAGCACAAACATGATCACACACGCCTCAAAAAGAGCCAAACAGCACCCCAGAGCAGCACCTGCGCCAGCGCCCCAAACTGCATGCCCCCTAGCGCCCGGCCATCGATCTCGAAAAATGCGCCTACCGTCACCCATCCTTCAAACAGCATTTGCACCAGCCCCAAACTGCATGACCCCCAGCGCCACCTGCACCAACGCCCCAAACTGCATGTGTAGCACCAGCGATGCCCCCTAGCACCTGGCCCCCTACCTGCGCCAGCTCCCCAAAATGCACTCCCTCTGGCACTCGGCCATCGATCTCGCAAGAATGCGCCCGCACCGTCACCAGTCCCTCAAACAGCACCTGCACAAACGTGCATGCCCCCTAGCACCCGGCCGTCGATCTCGCAAATCACTGTCCCCTTCTTGATTAGAAGTTAGAACCCCTATAGCTTTCGGCTATCTGGGGAAAAAGGTCCCACAACCAAGAAAAGCGCTGCCCATGTGGACTTTTAGGCGAGAGCAGATGTCCTTGGGTTTCCATTCAGCGCAACATGTTCTTGACTCGTTTACTGACTTTGAGTTGGCAGAAGGAGCTGGCAAAGCACAAGGGAAGACTGCCAGGCCAAAGAAGGCTTGGATGAGTTCGTGGTTGATCAGCTCAACACGCAGGAGAAGGCCACGAACTGTCCCAATCACCAGTTGTGCCAAGCGCTTCCCCACTAATTGCAATTCGAAATACCATTGGTTTTCTGCGATCTCCATCCCTTGCAATGTTTACGTTGGCAGATCAGTCGCTCGAAATGTTCCCAATTCAGTTTTTGGTCTATTCGGAGTGCATCAGGATGAGCATCACCTGGTAGAATGCAAAGACCGTTTTGCCTGGCCAGTTGCCGACTCTCATCTACGACCTCATACTTATCGAGGCCAGCTGGCAAGGTTCAGAAGCAGCAACTGTTTTTGGGAGGAGCCCATAAATTCAGGTCAGCCTGGCTGAACAATCAGGGAAATTGGAAAAATGAGTTGCACATGCCAGGCGTGGAAGGAGCGAATATGGCCGCTGATCAAGGCGGGCCGCTGATTAATTGGGACATTTTGCATGTGGTTCAACCGACAGTTAGAGAAATGTTTGAATGGGCAGAGCTCTTTCAACAAGCTACTTACCCATCGGTGCGGGGGTTCTTGGGCCCCAAGCTTTCAGCACTTACTTCAGAATCACTGTCTAGCGCGGAAGAACGGAAAGGGCATTCTGGGCATTGGATCACCAGCTTTCAGTTTCAGTCTGGCCAATGTTTGCTTGCGAAGCGTAAGGAATCAGATGACGGGGGCATGTTGAAGCCCAGTCGCAAGTAGCAGGCAAAGGCCTTGGCTGGCGTGTACATAAATAGGAAGCCAACAAACTGAGTTCAGCTGCCCAGGCCAAGATTGCCAAGTTCAGCTCGCTACGGACCTACATTCCCGTCTACCATGAGGCCAGGCCTTTCTCCAGCATTTCGCCTCGCCGTCCAGCTGCCATGCTCCACGAGTTCTCCACTCAAACAAGGACCTTGAGGGGATTAGCGAGGAACTTGGTTGCCGAGTAACTACGGTTGGTGGGTCCTGACTTAGCAATTGAAATGCAGGCGGCACATGCCGCGACCTCGTTTCAGGGGGGCTTCCCTAAGATTTGAACAATAGTGTCCTTTTACGGGAGCAGCCCTTATGTTCGGCTGGGGGGGCGGGGTCACCCACTCCGGGCCGCGGAATGCAGGCTTCAGTGGCAAATCTCTTGGAGGTCTCCCTCTACCATCGCACCAGCTGTGAGGAGGACCGATCCACCGTTCAGTCCTGCATCCCTGAGATACGGGTAGATTCCGAAAGGTAAGCCTCTCTTCTCTTGTCTACTTGTTCATTCCTTTCTCTCGCTCCCATCCGTCTCATTCACCGTTCCAAATGAGATGAATGATAGGATGGTGACGGACGGTGGCCATGAGCGAGAGAAAGTGATGGGATTTTGGATTGCGGTCAACCCACCTAAATCTCCAGCTTACCAATCCCATCTATTGAAAGCGCGTGGTGGCAAGGTACAGTTCTGCTCCCTTTGTCCCCACCACGCCCATGATCGCAAAATGTACAATAGTTGATTGCTCAAGCATTGCAATGGCGAATCGGGGCATCTTTCGAGCGACAACTAAACGTCATTGGCCAACCCTTTGGCCGTTTGGTATTTGGCAGGCAGGCGATGCGTTGATCGACCTGGTAGACTTCTGCGTGCGGAAGTTGAGGCGCTCGGTGGTTTGAGGGCTGAGTGGCTGGATGGAGTTTTTACGGTCTTGGCTTTGGCATGTAGGGAGTTGGCAACTCGCACAAGGTACCTCATTGCGACACCCAACGACGAGCTCGTGCGACAAGTTGCGTCAGCCAAGGTTGGGGGCTGGGAGGGGTCGATGCAGACTAAGGGGGCTGTTGCCTTGTGTCAGTCGCAATCTCACGAGTTTGTCAAGGCAGCAATGATGGCGTGTTTCCGCAATGTCCGTTCCTAAACAAATTGGCGCCAAAAAGATACAGTCTTCCCACTGTTGAAGAATGATTACTGGCCACAACTCAAATGAATCGAGACTGCGGCGGGTTAGCCGAGGGGTTCAAGGGCCACCATTACAGGAGGGTGGGTTCTCTTTATGGCTCTCAATAGCTACTTTTGAGATTAGAGTCGACCGAGGCGGTCGATGCCTCGGTGTTTCCACATCTCGCCGTCATTCCAATCTTTCCTACACACTTGTTTTGAGTTCCCAAATCTGTAGGAATCAGCCGACGTTCAGACCCGTGGCCTTCAATCACATTTTACGACATCTGAGTGATTTCAAAATATCCAGCTCCGTGAGGAGTGCACGGAGTGGGACACGGTGAGGATGCTGGATGAGCAGTTCGCGGAGTGCGAGTTTCAGGCAGACGCTGGGGGGTTGCTCCCAAGCTGTTGAGGCTGGAGCCTGTTACGTATCGCCTTCTTAGTTTCCAAGGAAACTCCACGCATTTGAGCCTTGGAATTCTGCTGAGAGTAGATGACAAATGAGGGATCCAGTTGTACTACTGTGTCCCGAAGCATGGCAAATACTGTGCTATACCTTGTTCCCTGCTTAGCTGCAACATTCAGGGCTTCAACCAGCGCTGTGTGGCCGAAGGCTTGTGCCGCTTTGGGCTTTGTGTTCCATTTGCAGCCAAATCTGACAAGTTCCCATGAAACGAATGCTGCATAACCCGGTCTTGGGGGATTTTCATTTCTAAGTAGTCAATAAATTCTAAATCCCAAGTGTCCGCAGGGAAGTTTGTTCACCTTGCCGCGGTGGCAGATTTGCATGTGCGTCATCTCCATCATCCGGTTTCTCACCGACCACCGGGTGGCAGTGCCCCTGGCTGTAACCACTCGGATGCTCGAGACGCATGACGCCGGATCCTGAGGTGGCCGACTGGCATGGGGATACAGTTTGTGTGATGCGAGGGAATGCCTGGGGTGTGACACACAGTAAGCTCACAGCAGTGGCCAGTCCGGAAGTAGTTGCCGCGTGGTTAATTATTTACATGGTTTTGGTAAACCGCCTTAGTCCAGGTTTTGATTATGACTCACATCCCGGGGCCAATGAGTATTGATGTTGGGGTGAAACTGTAATGTTTGGGTTTCCCCTAAGAAAGCTTAGGTTTGGGCTTGAGGCAAAACAAAATTGTACGTGCACGCAAAAAAAGTTGATGGATTTGCGTTGTTGATGTGTTCCTGCATGAGACGGTGAGAGCCAGATATGCCTTGACAGGAATACTCCAGACTGTTGCTGGGCACTTGAGACTGGCCACGACAGCGACCATGACGGCAACCACCGCAAAAGCGGCGACCACAACTACAGCAACCACCACACCAACAACCAACTAGCCAGCCAACCAACCGACCAACCGACCAACCGACCAACCGAAAAAGCAAAAAAAAAGAACAATCAATCAATCAATCAATCAATCAATCAATCAATCAATCAATCAATCAATTCAAATCAAATCAAATCAAATCAAATCAATTCAAATCAAATCAAATCAAATCAAATCAAATCAAATCAAATCCATCCAATCAATCCAATCAATCCAATCAATCCAATCAATCCAATCAATCCCATCAATCCAATCAATCCCATCAATCCCATCAATCCCATCAATCCAATCAATCCAATCAATCCAATCAATCCAATCAATCCAATCAATCCAATCAATCAATCAATCAATCAATCAATCAATCAATCAATCAATCAATCAATCAATCAATCAATCAATCAATCAATCAAATCAAATCAAATCAATCAATCAATCAATCAATCAATCAATCAATCAATCAATCAATCAATCAATCAATCAATCAATCAATCAATCAATCAATCCAATCAATCCAATCAATCAATCAATCAATCAATCAATCAATCAATCAATCCAATCAATCCAATCAATCAATCAATCAATCAATCCAATCAATCCAATCAATCCAATCAATCCAATCAATCCAATCAATCCAATCAATCCAATCAATCCAATCAATCCAATCAATCCCATCAATCCAATCAACCCAATCAATCCAATCAATCCAATCAATCCAATCAATCCAATCAATCCAATCAGTCAATCAATCAATCAATCAATCACTCACTCACTCACTCATTCACTCAGGCAGGCAGGCAAGCAAACAAACAAACAAGCAGGCCCCAGCAGCAACAGCAAAAGCAAAAGCAAAGGCAGCAACAGCACCAGCAGCAGCACCCGGGCTTTCCTACTTTTTTAGTAAAGACTTTCGGGACTGTGTGGGGAAGACATTGTTTCTCAGTGCGGTACCTCTCAGCTGTTTGAACAGATGTGCAAATGCAAAGTTGCTCAAACAGTTTCAGGGCTGTGGGAGGGACCTTCAACTGGCAAACGAGAACTCAGAGCCAAGTCCGCATTTGCCACGACAATAGGTAGGTGCTGTAAATGTCTTCGTGAATGTCAGGGCTGTTTAAACAGCAGCTTCACACAGAATTTGGTACGGGAAATTCTACAGGAAGACATGTGTTTGATGGGTATTTGAACAAATGTCTTGGAGAGCCTCCCATACCAGGTTTCTATGCTTGAAGGAATGTTTAGCACTGTTGCGCATAAATGCATTTATGCACCCAGGCTATGATATTTACACAGATTTGTTACTGTATGACTTGGGGATTTAGACGGTTTAAGCAGGCTGCATGCTCCACCCTGTCCAAAAGAAAGCAGATCACGTTGGCTTTACGGGTGGGAGATGCCAGCGGATCTTTTGTTCAGCTGTTCAATACTGCTCATGACTGATTGGGGGAATTGTTTGAGTGATGTAGGTTCAAGACTTCTGCCTGGAGGTGCATAGACCCCTAAACCAAAACGCAGTCTCAGCCGAGATCCTGCTCCTGTTGGTGCCGCTCATGGAGAAGGCGCGTGCACCTTGCAGTTTGGTCGATGAAAGCCCGGGCCAAGACCTCCCTCGTTGACCGGCCCTCAAATTTTTGGGCCAAGCCCCAGGCCCCCTGGGTCCGCAGAAACCGCCGCTTGGCTGCATTCGGGGTGTTTCAACTGATGCCGATGGCCAATGACATGTTCCTCAGAGAAGTCTCCAGCCCCAAGGAATTAACGGGCGCATCGAGAAGTTCGAGGAGCACAAATGGCAGGTCGTCGAGGCGTGTGCAAGTGAGCGGGGATGTGCAGGGCAAGAGCTGCATGTTTGCCACTACAATTGGATCCTCCAGCGCTGAAGACACCGATGCTAGGAATCTGTATCACAAAGGCTAATGTTGTCATAGTCTGACCTGTTCACGGGTTCACACAACCCTCAATGCAACCCAATGACAGGGAGCAGCCATGAGTTTGATCATTGAAGAAGTTGAGCGAAGGAAGGGCAAGCCAGCAAATTCCAGAAGACCCTGTTGCCTAGGACCGGATTGACAAAAGGTCCCACGGACCCTGTATCCACAGCCGGCCCGACAAAGGCACGAGTTATGTTGCTCTCCGTTTTGACCTTTGGTGCTCTCACCATTCATTGCTTTGTCCAGGATTCCTGGATGACACTTCGTGCCATTCAGACCGTGGTTGTGCCGTTCCACCTTCTCTTTGCTTGCTGTCCCCACTCACAATTGCTGGTAGCTGGCACAAGGTGCATAGACCAAAATGGGATCCCTCGTCCAGTGAATGTTTGAAGGCGCGGTTGATTGTTTCAACACTCCGAAAGGCAGATGACGAGGGCCGCCTGCCGAAGCTCCATTCGCAGGCGCACGGCAAAAGAGCGGGATCCGAACTCCGGGGTGATTTGCCTGATTTGTTCACACCTTAAAACCTTAAATTCTCACTAAATTCTCACTGGGTAGCTCCCTTACTACCTTACTGTTTAAGGGACGAAGCATCAGTTCAGAAAGCATGCCAATGTGAAGCAAACTTGGAGCCCAAACATGGAAGCCACCAGACAACCACTAGGAAAGAAACGCTCAGCTTCCAAGTGCTTCAAGCTTGTCACATTTAGGGGGAAGGTGCCATGCCACCAGATCTCTGTACGTCGTTTCGTTGGGAATTATGTGTTATGGGATTTGCTTGAGCTTAGGGAGGTGACTCAAGGAACAAAGCGGATCCTGGAATCGTGTTCATGTTGCTGGACTCGATTTCATGTTTGCAAAGCCACAGCTCGGCCGAGTCCGGACCGCGATTGCTTTGCGAGTTCTCAAGAAGGGCCGTGGGCCTGTGCTTGGGGCTTCACAGCTGTTTGTCGGTGATATATGCACCTCAGCAGGGCCCTTTTTGTTAAGACGTGTTTTCCTGGCTGGCTTTTTGGGCATGTGTTGCCATGTGTGGTCTGGCGGCTTTTGCCTTGGCTTTCTGCATCCTCAGCATTGCCAGCAACACCTGTTCTTGGCGTTTTTGATCTTGTCCGTAGGCGCATAGTGTGCTTTCTTTTCCAGCGCTGTTTGTGGGTGTGGGGTGCTTGGATTTGAGTTGTTGTTTGGGGGGCATTGGTTGTTGTCCGTGGGCTTGGGGAGTTGTTGTTTCTGTAGATGTTGTTTGCAGGCACCCTGGCTTAGGGGGCTAAGCCAACCTTGAACCTTCCCGACACAAGCCCTAAGCCAACCAAAACCAAAACCAACCGCAAGCCCAAAGTAAAACCGAAAACCTACCCAAACCCACGCTACAAAACCTTAAACCCACCCCAAGCTCGGCCTAATCCAAAGAAATTGGTGGTGTCGGGGCCTTTGGAACCGATACTGGCGGTGTTACAAACGATGCTGGAGATGTTGACAGCGCTGGTGTAAAACATGTCAATGTGCAGGTTGTTAGACATGCTGTAAAATACGGCATGTTAGTGACCCGGAGCGAGAAAAAGGCAAACCAAAAAGAAGCCACGAACCCAAATGCAATCTGCGCGCTACCTTTTGTCCCGAAGCTTGAAATATGATAACATGGTGGTGAGATTTACTCTCACGAGCAACACTCTTGAATGCCACTCGTGCACGACACTTCTGACTGACGCCTTTTGAACGACACTAGTGAGCGACACTTCTGAGCGACGCAGTTGCATGACACGTCTGAGCGCCACAGTCTTTAACGACACCTGTGAGCGACACTTCTGACGGACACTTTTCGTCGACGGTTTTGAGCTCTAAGTGACACGGTTGAGTGACACTTGTGCGCGGCACTTCGCCAAAACGAGCGCCGCTTCTGAGCGACACTTTGGAGCGGCGCGCGTGGGAAAGACTTGTGAGCGACACAGATCGGCAGCGCGAGACTTCTGAGCAACACTCTTAAGTGACACATGTGAGCGCATGACACTTCAGATTGACACTTGTGAGCAAAACTTTAGAGCCTCCGGCTCACTCCGCCGACATTCTTCTCTCCCTTGTCTCCTTCTTCCTCTCTCTCTCTCTCTCTCTCTCTCTCTCTCTCTCTCTCTCTCTTTTCCCTTCGCCCGTTTGTTCCCTCGTCCTCTCTCCCTCTCTCTCTCCTCCCCATCCTCCCCATCATCCCCATTCCCTCTCTCTATCTCTCTTTGTCTCTCTCTCTCTCTCTCTCTCTCTTCTACTTTCTCTTTCTCTTTCTCTTTCCGCCTTCCTCTCTATGCACCTCTCTCTCTCTCTGGCTCTCCCTCTCTCTCTCTCGCTGTCTCTCCCCCTCTCTCTTTCTTTGTTTGCATTGTAGCGTCATGTCTCCTCTGAGTTGCTTTGATTTCCGTGCGCTGCCCCTTCATGACCCTTGCATTGTCTTCTTACTACCCTTGATTTCCCCTTCATGTCCTGTCCATGTCTCGTCATTCATGTCCCCTGCCTTTCCTTTCAATCCCCCCTTCATTTCCCTCGCATCTTCTCGGTCATTTCCCTACATCTCCCTTCGTGTCCTTTGGTTTCCTCCTTCACTCCGCTTGTTCTCAGTCTTTTCCCCCTCATTTCCCTTTCAGTTCCCCTTCGTTTCCCTTTCAATTCCCCTTGCTTTCCTGTCATTTCCACTTCCTGTTCATTTCCTTGCACTTCCCTGCATTCCCCTTCACTCCCCGGTATTTTCCCGAAAAAAACACGTTTTTCCAATATTTTCGGCAAAAGGATGCAGTACCAAACGCACCCCCCCCAAGGGGGAGGGGGGGGGGGGGTATCCTCCATCCTCTCTTAGCTGTCCGACACGACGAGCAACGTCGGCGGACTTCTGCCCGAGTACTACGCCTGTCCAAGGAATCGACGTACCGCGCCTGCCACAAGATCTACCGGCTACGCTCCCAGCACTGCACCTGAAAGGAGATCTGAGCCCAAGCTTCCAGGTGCTGCGCCTGCCACGAAATCTGCACGCGTCGCTCTCCAGTACTGCACCTGCCACGCAATCTGCACCCGAGCTCCAAACTACTGCGCCTGCCACGGAATCTGGCACGCATCCGACAGGACTGTGGCGCCAGAATGGTACCGACTGATTTCGACAAATTTCAAGGTCACCAAACGAGCATCACAACGGCATGGCAAGAAGAACACGTGTCCTTCCAAAACACTGCGCCTGCGCGGCGAAACGACATGCAATTGTGAATTCAGCGCTCCAAGATTCACGAAAACGTCCCAATTCCGCAGAAATCCCAACGGTGCGGCAACTGTCTCAACACGCGAACGCTTTCGGACGCTCACGCGAGCCGACCATCGAACATGATCTTACCCCCAGACAGACTCCACTTAATAACGGAAGCCTTTCAGTTCTGAAAGGAAACAATCCACTTTTTGCATGAGCTCCTACCTTGAGTGGAACTGACTTCAGCGACTGGGCAGCAGCTTATGCTCTGAGTTCCCAGCCAGCCCTTCTTTCATTAAGTTTGTGGCTGCGTGTCAGCTTCTTTTGTCCTGTTCTTGAAGCTTGAGTTAGTTATGTTTGCGCTTGGTCCTGCCCTTATAACGAAATTATTCGTTCGATTGTATGGGTGCCGCCAGGTGTGGCTTTCCATCTACAACTTGGTCATGGATGGCGAGAAGTCCTGGCGAGTTTGTATAACACAGAACGGCAGACCGTCGGTCACAGGGCATTGCACGGCAGGATGACCGCCCTTTCCTCATGCAACACTTTGTGCCACTTGCCCGTTTCACGGGGGGCAAACGCACGCGCGGGCGAAAGGCCACGTGGGCCAAGAATTTCATAACCAGGACGCCACCAGCCCCAAGCTTTGACCCAATCGCATCCTTGTTGCTGCTTGCCTGAGGTGTTATGCTTTCAGGCTGTCGCAATTTGTCAAACAGGAAGTGCTCTCTTTCAAAGCGCAGGGCACAGACGCTGAAATACGCTCGAAGCGCGGCGCGCTGAACCCCCAGAGTATTTCAAGCAACTAGGAATGTGGAGTCATGATGTTGCGCGCCTTGGCCCTTTTGGCGGTTTTAGCCCCTTGAACCATCTGCATCACAAGTACAGTTCCTCAGTGCTCTTGGTTTCTCAATCAAAACATTGAGCATCTTGAAAGAAGAAGGGTCTTGTCAAACCATTTCGGCGGTGGTTGTCAAGACCCCAGCGCCAGAGGGCCATTCCTAGTCCTTTGCAAGAATAAGTATTGAGTTGCTCTTGTGTGCTTGGCAGTTGCACGGGAACGCATGTCGGTGTGTTTTGTGATGGGCAAAGGTTTGCTTTGATGTGCGCTTGCAGATACTATTACTTGGGTTTCTTCCACAAAAGGCTGTGTAAATCCAGGTGTTCCCCATCCCACGCGCACAGCTTCGTCAGCTTCAGAACCGTTGGTCATTCAGCCGAACGTAAAAAGAAGCCAAATTGGACATCTTCGACCCTGTGTGTGTTGATTGTTTGTTTGCTTTTGATTTGTGTGTTGACTGTTTATTTGTTTGTGGTTGTTTTTGCTGGTTTGTTTCTGTATGTCTCGTTTGCTTGTGTGTGTGTTTGTGTTTTTATTGTTTGTTTGTTTGTTGGTTGGTTGGTTGGTTGGTTGGTTGGTTGGTTGGTTGGTTGGTTGGTTGGTTGGTTGGTTGGTTGGTTGGTTGATTGTTTTTGTTTGTTTGTTTGTTTGGTTGGTTTGTGCGTTGTGGTGTTTGTTTTTGTGGGTGTTTGTTTGCGCGTGTTATTTATCTACATATTTATGTTGTCTTTGTTGTCTCTGCGTTAATTCATCTATATCGTTGTTGTTTGTGATGGTGATGTTGATGTTGATGTTGTTGTTGTTGTTGTTGTTGTTGTTGTTGTTGTTGTTGTTGTTACTTTGTTGTTGCTTAATTGTTGCTTGGTGGTTGTTGTTTGGTGGTTGTTGTTG